TACTCAAAGTGTTTTGCCAGTGATTTATACCGAATATTTGACTAATTCTTATCGCATTTTTTCCATCTCTTTGCAGGTGAGTGTTCTGGCAGTGACATTTTTTGAGATTGCATTTTTGGGAAGTGCTTAACAGGTGGCAATGCAAATGGTAAGCTAAGAAGGGGAAGGGAAACATTGGTTTGTTTATTTTTTGAGGTGTGATTTAGTTTGCATTAAAAAGCAGTATTAGTAAAATTTAAAGAATGACTTCTATGGCAATAGTTTCCCTTTCACTTTAAGGTTTTATGGCCAAGCCTTGTTAGAGCCTTCTTTTCTGTGACTTCTACTTCTCTATCCACTTTCGTAGCGTGAACGCTGTAAACACTAAATTGTAGCATTTTATGGATCCTTGTCCCTCATCCTTGACCTCCCTGAAGGTTCGCATTGTAATCAACTCGAGTCTTGCACCATTGCCACTTGGCAGGCGAACTGGCAGCCAAGCGAGCCACGCAATTTGTAACTTGTTAAGAGACCGAGCAAAAGGAGGAAAAGAAGACCCTGTCAGGGCGTGACTCAGCTCCCTCCTGGTCCCCTCCGTCCGTCCACCTGTTTGCTCCTGCGGCCGAATGGACATATGCCTAACGACCCATTAGTCACGTCAAATCGGCAACACGAACTGCCGCAAGTGTGAAAACAAAGGAGCGACATTGCCCGGAAAGAAGAAAAACAAATAAAAACAGACTGTGGGCCCGGAAAAATAGAAACGAAAACAATAAAGCCAAAGTGATCGTGACCAATTGTTGGCTTTTGGTCACTGGAACAACAATCAACAATCAACACCCAACTTACACAGCAGCAATAGCAGCAGAAATTGCAGCAGCAACAGCAACATGCAACAGCAGCAACGCAACCAACGTGCGACATCGTTCGGATATCTGCAAATATTTGCCCCTGTTGACGAACTTGCGGCCATTTTCGCCCCTTTTTCCCACTTGGCTGTCACCCACTTAACCCTACACTGCCATCACTCATTGTGGACACTCTCTAGTAGCGGCACCGAATGTGCATAGACTGTCCATCAAGTGACCACAAAATGTTGCCAACACTATGCGACGGACCAGAAATGCGACCAGACCAGAAATATCCGTCCGGCTTTCCGGTTCTTCACTCTCACTTGCAGAAATATGTGACAGCAGTGCGTTAGGTCATTAAATAGAGTTGAAAAACCGTTTGAAATAGGGATTTAAATTTAAAGAAGAGAAACATTAAATTGTAAGCTATAGGGATCCGATAATTCCAGCAGTTTTCTGGGAAAACAAACCCTATTCAAGGGTCTTAAATGTTAATTTTCTCCACATGAACCTCCTCTCCTTATTTTCCAGTGCATCATTCGTGCTTGTGGCCATTCCGATGGTATTCTACCTCCGTTCAGACACCTTAAATCAAATATGTATATATTGTAATGGGACGTGACAGGTCGTACTTTATGCGGCTCTGATTCATCATCAGGCCGTTCTTCATTGTCAGCAGCGGCATTAAGAGAATTAAATTTATATGCCATCTGCCAATGATTTGACAATTGAATTTGCGAATTAACACTGGTATTGGCGAGAGCGTTTTTTGTTTTTTATTGCATTTTAGGGACACATGTGTCCCATGCAAATGAACACATATCCCATTTTCTGTTGGAAAAATAAACCAGCTAGGACAACAGCGAGAGAAACAAGCTAAATCCATTTAGGGCGCGCAACCAGAGAATCCAACCAAAAACGGGCACCCCCCAAAAGTTCAGGAAAGTGTGTGCAGGATGCAGAAAAACGAATTTCCAGCAAATATTCCGGAAGCAGCATACAAAAAAAAAATATGGAAAAACTGCAGAGCAAGAGATTTTTGGGAGCGAAATTCAACCCTTTTTTCGGTAGGGAATAATCACCCCAAGCCCTAGAAATTCAGAATCGCAGCTTTCTCACGTAGTGTGCGTTATTTTTTGTGGCCTTGTCGGACAAGGGTATGATGACTTTATCAAGGGGATTGAGTTCTGACAGATCCTGGACGAAGGGAAGTATATGTTCGGCTACTCTCTGTCAGGCAGCTATAAAGTTTGATGACTCTTTAAGTTTGTGAAAGCGATTACTGTGTTCAAAAATCAAGTCCTATCAGCATTTGTTTTGATGGTTATGATGGTGGTTAGCTCATGAATTAAATAGTTTAGCTAATGGTTTATATACTACTTTGTATTAGATAATATTTCCAATGAATAACCTTAACTTCACTTAATGTTTGTGTTAACTTATTCAGAGCATCCTTTTTTTCTGGCCTCTACTTAGGATGTAGGAATTTCATTCAGTTTAGTTCAAGCGTATCTCCATTTTCGTCTTGCCTTCTAAAGTGCTATTTTCATGGCTAGGATTTTGTTTCTGGCCAAGTGCAATTCAGCTCATGTACTGGCCCTGGTCCTACTTCCCCGTCCCCACACTGAATGCCATAGTGCCATACTGCCATAGTGCCGTAGTGCCATTCAAAAGCATCCACGAAATGGGTCTAGTGCATGCTCCGCAGCCGCCTGCCTTCGTCCTTCGCATCCTTTGTCCTTGGCGTTGGGGCTTCGGCTTCCCCTCTGTTCCTCTGTTTTGCTAGCAAACAAATAGAAAACGTTGCTCGCTGTTTGTCGCCATATGTTCTGCTTGGCGGGGATTCACACACCCAAAACTGAAAGGGGGAGGGAGAAAATGGGGTTTCTGTTTGGGTTAGAGTCCTGGAACAGCAGCAGCTGTCCTGCTGCACTGGCTGCCCCGAAATTGAGTTTTTGGCCACGACTTGGATTTATTTGCATAGTCGACACGAAAGCATTTTAAGGCTTCCACAGGAATGTTATTTGAAGTAGGGTCAGTTCAGTGAGTACGTGTGCGTGCACTGTGAAATACAGAGGCATTTAGATTGTAATTTAAGAATTAATTAACCTTTAAGTTACGTGCATACTTGGACATAATTTTCAATTTTAAATACATAAATTAAAGGCTAGAAACAACACCTTGTTAGGAAGTACTTGATTTTGACATTGAGCTTTGTTTGGTATCCAAAAATGGTGTTAAAAGTTAATAATGAATTATTTGTTCAGTTTTCATAAATATTTTATAATGTTCTAATAAAGAACCTTATAAAAATATTTTATACATGTATTCTCAGTTCTTTTCTTTGTTTAAATAGGGATTTTTGATGTAGTTTCCCATTCGTCATGTTATTACTCATTTTTTTGCAGAGTTCCCAAGTGACCCGAAAGCCTTTTGAGTCGGCTTATAGGCTCAGGAGTCCTGAATCCTGGACCTGAGTCCTTGCGCCTAGGCCCTGGTCCTTGGTGCTTCTCCTAATCCTCGTATCCTGTCCAAGCCGAGGCTGAAGCAGATGTGTAAATGCCGTCATAATGCTTGTACCGACGTCAGCTTGACAGCTTGCCCGCCTTCCCCGACCCCCTCCCTCCCGTCCAAATTGTGGGCGTGGCACGTGGCTGACCGAAAGGAACGGAAGGCTGAGCAACGGTCAGGGATGGGGGACACCCATACACACACGGGTCCTCTCGTGGCAGCTTATTAGTATGCAGCTGTGCTCGCTTTTCGGCCCCAAAAAGTGTGGAGGGGGGCTTTTCCTACCCCTCCTAAACACACACACACCCACACGGCTAAGAGCGTGTATTGGTGCATTTTCCTGCGTGGAAATTCGTGTTCGTGTCATGATTCAGTTTGCTTTAATTAATTTCGTACTCCATTTGCCGGGGAATCCCCCAGCAGTGGCTTAAATTAACCGTTACACAAGAGTTGCCCCCGATAAATAATGTTCATCTTCGATTGTCGGTGTGAGGTGAGGAATTCAATTAATTTGTATTTAGGTTAATAAGTCTAGATTTGTTCAAACTAGAAACAAGTATTTAACTTGAAATCTCTAGAATTCTCCTTTATGAAAGAGATAGATAAATATAAAAATCATTGCCAAATATTAATATGCATAATAATATTATGATATATCCATTTGCAATTAAATTACCAGCATCATAAGCACCTTTTATATGTACCTCGGTTCAAGGCCTTCGTATCCTGTTCCACATTCAAAAATGTAATCAAACCCGAGGCCAGAAAAACCCTTTCGATTAATTCGGTAGCCCATCACATGCACTTGGCACGCTTTCGTTTAACAACAACGAAAAAATTCAAGAATGCACAAGGAAAACCCACAGGACGCACTTTCAGTTCAGTTTTCGCAGATTTCGCAATTTTTGATTACATTTCAATCTCATCCAGCCACGAAAATCGTAAAACATAGAACATTCTGCAGAAAAAGAAAGAAAGGGAAAACAAAATCCATCGAATACTACGAAAATGCAATTGGCGTGAAAAGCGTTTTCCAATGTGGGCGGCTGTAGGCGTGATCCGCACGTCGTTCGGGGAAAACTCGAACTGAAAATGCAGCTAGAAAATATGTATCGAAATTAAATTTCAATCGAATCGCAATTGCAAACCCCAATGGGAATGGAAAATCGTGGCGAAATGTTGTTATTTCGTCAGTGACTCCAATGTAGTGACTGTGACTGCAGTTGTGATTGCGAGTTGATTTGTAACTTAATTTATGCCATTTTCTGCCCAAAAGTGGAAAAACATTCCCCAGCTTTCGTTTTCGGTATTATTCGGTTATCATTTCAATTTGTAATTCAGTCGAGAGCAGCTTAGTTTTCCATCGGGATACATGCACACACACACACATTGGGGAAAAAGGGAAAAACTCCCACACTCAATCAGACTAAAATGTAAACAAAGACACACGCACATGGCAACTTTTGGGGAAAACTGAATTTCCTGACATGATTAGCTTGCCATCGAATTGAAGGGTGCCATCTGATATTTGATGATGTGATTGATGCCGGTGTGAATCTTGTTTGCTTTCGAAATTAAACCAGCTATTTTCGAGTCACAAATTAGCCATCAAGTTATTTTTGGAACAACTTGAGGATAATATTATTTACCAAAACCGTGTACAGTACAAATTGGGCGATGCACATACTTATAATTTTATACAACCCTAAATCCTAAACAAGACTAAATCAATTGCGACTAATTTAAAGTAAAAACCTCATTGTAAAAGCTTGGGCTTGATGTATAATTACTTCGCTTCTTCCACTGGCTTCTTGTTCGAGTTGGTGCCGTCGTTGAATCGTTGTATATCTCCAGAGGCCCAGATGCAGTAAACTATCGCCGTGACCACCAGAACCACAAAGGCCACCCAGAAGACCAAACGCCACTCCAGCATTGTGGTATTCGGCGTCATAACCCCCACCAGATACGGGGTGATCACCCCCGTGAGAGAACCGATGCCGTTGGTTATGGCCATCAGGACGCCGGCGTAGTTGGGACTCATGTCCAGTGGGGTGAGCTTCATTCCGGCATAGTAGGTTCCCATCACACCCATGCAGAGGGTGAACAGGGTCACGACCAGGAGGCGGTTACAGCCGGCATAGGAAGCGCCAACCATTAATACAGCTGGACCAAAGGCTGCTATCCCCGTCATGACTTCCGGGTATTCGTAATGCTCATGCACTTTCGATTAATCATGCAATCGGCCACAATGCCGCTCAATAAGGAAACGACCCACATCATAACATAGGGCAGCGATGAGTACAATCCGTTCTTTTTGATCGAGAAACGCATGACATCGGCCATGTATTTGGGAAGGCATGAGACCATGATGTAGAAGCCCCAGTCGTGACCGATTTGGGCGCTGATCAGTGCCCACATGGGTACGTTGGTGAAAATCGCCTTCCAGGGTGTGCGTGGTAAATTCTTCTTAAGGGGAATCTGCTCTAGCAGGAATCCTTCTCCTTTGGCTTGATACACGGATGTGTGGAGGGACTACTGTAGCATAAAATCGTGAACAGAATGAACCAGACAATGGCCAACAAACCGAAGAAGTAGAACACCCACGGCCAATCGAACTCGGCTAAAAGTAAGCCAGAAACGTAATTACCAAGAATGCTGCCCACCTGGCCGCCTCCAAGCACGAGAGCGCCCAACATTCCACGCTCTTTCTGCGGCACCCAGGATGCCAGCAGGACACTAAGAGCAGGAAAGGTTGTGCCCTCCCCAAGTCCCATCAGTACACGGAGGACGATGAGGCCATCGGGACCGCAATACACTATGGTCACCGGTGTTAGGAGCGTAAATATTGCAGTGGCAAGTATGCCCAAGCTGAGTGTCCACTTTCCGCCGAACTTGTCTGCCAGAATGCCGCCAGGCACATGCGTAACAATATATCCAATGTAGAAGGAGGCCAGGATCAGGCCCTGCTTCTCCTGATCCCAGTCGTAAGTTCCTGTAGCGCTTTTCGGTGGTTTACCCTCGTTTGCGTCTGGTTTACACATCCCTTCCGGAGGTACATTCGAATAGTTTCTTGGAACCACTAGCACGGTGATGGCCTGGGAGAGACAGACTCGCATGGTATAGGCATTCACTATGGCAAAGAAACCCATAATGGCCAGGATCCATCTTTGTGGGACAAGGAAGGTCTTGGCGAGCTTGACGCCCCATTCCGGCTGAGGTGGCAGATCAGCCATTCAGTTTTCTTTCTTTTTTGGTTTTTTGAAAATGCTAACTTCGCCCGAAATCTGTTGTATATGAAAACTTAAAAAAAACTGTGTTTTTAAATTTATAACTCAATGCCAACTTTGCCCGAAAACTTTAATTTGTATTAAATTTCAATTAAGTGTTGCTGGTCCTTCAAAGTGTGTAAAATCTAAGAGGTTGAGCATTTGATTAGTTTCAGTTTTAAAATTCGGAAAGTTAAGAAAAATCGGTTTAAGTTCCTTTGATAACCTGTCATAAATCATCTTTAATTTTGATCTCAAAGTCCCACCTCAAACCATTTCCTTTGCTCCAGATCCCTTGGTATTCTTCATCCGTTACTATCCCCCCTAAAGCGAATCCTGTAGATGCGCTTTTCCTGCATTTTCTCCGGCTTCTGGTCCCATTTCCCAGCTCAGCTGAGCTCACGTAATCAAGCCGCTCATTTCCCCAGTCACCAGTAACAAATCCTTCAGCTGGCATTTCCCTTTTTAAAACTGCTTAACTTACTGCTTCGGTTACTGGGTGTTGTTGCACTGCCCCCTCTCAGCCCCTTTTCCGCCCACTTTTCCCCCTGTGCTCCCTCCTGGTAGAAGGTCTCCCAGCATTACAGCTCATTAATCAACTGGGAAAGCGTTGAGCTCGCCGCTGTTTTTTTTTTTGCAGCATCGCCACGTCGTGTTGACGTTCACCTCGAAAATGTCACTTTCTTGGGCGTGAAAATTTCCCACATTCCACCCACCACACCTAGTGAAACTTTGGTTTTCGGTTGATTAATTGTTTAGTTAGTGATTAGGGAGAAAGAGTGACCGCAAGCCAAGAAAACCCAAAAGAGACTTTAAGCTCGGTTCCAATTAAAGACGCTCACGAAACGCGGCCAAAAACGCGCGCTCGCCAGATAAGGCACACGCGATTTTAACAGCGTGGCTTTATTGGTTGCGGTTTCAATAAAAAAACGAAGATGAAAACCTCAAGAAGCATTATTGCCACTCCAGCGATGAGTTTTTTATTTCACTTCATCTTAGACAGTGCACTCTGGACAAAATGTAGATTTTTTGTTTTTTTTTTTTATATTTTCTTTCTAAATTAATATACACATATTATCACAAGAATTTTGATAGCTTAAGATCGTTGGTTGCTATCAAAAAGTCTTCAGCGAAATGTCAATGTTATATATTTAATACTTGCATACTTAGTTTTTTTTTGTGTATCCCATATCGTGTGGTGACTGTAACTATAACATTTTCTGCTTATCCCCCAACACACACTTGAACACACACATCCTTCGTCCTCTTGTCTAAAATGCAGCTCACAGTTTGTGTCTTGGCTTGCATTTTATCCCTCCTCTGCGACGGCTTTCGCGCCATTGAGTCCTGTTTCAAGAACAATTCCTTTCGCGTTTGAGTGTGTGCGTGTTATTTGTTTTTGTGTTTTTTTTTTTTTGAGTGCATTTTTCTGCATGTGACTGCACTGCACTGCAAGTTTTCATCATCATCATCGTCATCGTCAAATGGAAAGCGAAAAAATTGTTGTCGTCATCATAAACGTCTCCTTCGCCTTGTGGGTGAATCTAACCCCCTAAAATCACCGGGTTTGAGCCCCTCTGGTAACCGCATTTCGCCCCAAAAATTCATTGTCAAAGTTTGTTTTGCTTCGTGTGTTTTCCCTCGTTTTTACTTACTTTTCAAATGAGTTTTCCCGTTTAACTTTAATACAGCAAGGAAAGTGTGTTTGGAGAAGCTGCAGGAGATATGTATGCAAGAGATATAATTAATTTGATTGTACCTACTGTGGGAAGTAATTTATTTCCAGTATGTTCGTAAATAAAATATAGTTAAAACTATATATAATTTAGTATAGGGAACTAACCTACTTTTAGTCTCTGTAAGTCACTGTTATGTTCTGTTTCCTTTTCGTCCTTGTAAAACTTAATTTTCAACTTACTTCTTCGCCCGAGTTTCAGTTTCTGTCAGCGTTATTTGTATATTTCTCACACTTTCCGTCTTTGGCCAAACTTTGTTTTTATTGTTCTCTTAACTCTCATCATATTAAATAATTCTTACTTTCTGTGGGGGGCACAGCAGGAAGAAAAATTGAAATAAAAAGAAAACACTTAGCTGCCATTCATGTTTGTTCATGTTGAGCGTAAGAAAAGTTTTTCACACAATTAAGTTGAGGAAAATGCTGCGGCAGACCCGAAATTGAAAGAAGTCCTTGCCAGGACCTCAAAATGCTGCTCCTGCTGCTGCTGCAGCAACAGCTGCTGCTCCTGACGTTGACTGTTCCGCATCAGCAAAATAAAATAAATAAAAAATTTCAATTAAATAAAACTCTTTGCCAAAAATTCATATAGTATATAAGTAGTGTTTTTGCAAAAGTTTTCATTGAAGTTTTCAGAGGAGTTTACTTGACTAGGAAGAAAACAAGTTGAAGTCGAAAGTTAATTTCTAGGATAATTGCAGCATTTAGTTTTTGATGGCATTAATTTGCACTTATTTTAAGACCAGCTTACATAATCTATATCAAGAATATTATTAAAACAACAAACTTGTGCCTTTCACTCTACATTTAAAAAACAAACGTATACATTTTCCAAGAAATCAAAACAACACAGCTAACTACAATAAAAAAAGGTAGTTTCAAGTACTTTATACCACTTGTCAAAAAATTCGAATCCGCCGATGGTTAACAATTTCCATTCTTCATTTAACGAGCGGAATCGGAGTGGAAATAATTTTCATTTAATTTCATTTTAAATGCACTCAAAGCGATAAGGATGGGAAATCGACCTTCCTTTGCGCACTCGAGTGTTTTGTTCAGCTATCGCCGACATGAAATCATTGAAAAAGTACAAAATGGTAACCGAAAGGCACCGGAGAGACCTGCGGAAAACCAAAATGACTTGGCCGAATGCCATTGTTGGCCGTGGCTGTGGGCTTGCCTGTTTACATTGATAGCTGGCCGAGATACAAAGGCGAGAACGAACGAGTTTCACTACTAAATACTGCTTCTATATGTATGTATATTTTCCGACTGTCTTGTTGCTTTGAATCCTGTTTGTTCAACGCCGGGCCAAGAGGCTGCGGATCCTACCTGAAACGGACCCCGACGAGTGGTCCATTGTGTCAGGTCGGGCATCAAATTTAATCCAATTAGTTAGACAATGCCAGTGGGGTTTCGGTTTTAGGGTTCTCGGGATCTGAGGTCTCGTGCGGATCGAATTTGAGTGAATACGCCCACGTCAGCCCTCTAATCTCGTCCGCCATTTGTTGCTGCACTTAATTAGGAGGGGTCAGGAACTGCGAAGCCAACTTGCCAGCACTCGCATTTGATTTTGAGTCCCATCCCTCGAATGAAGCCGTCTCAATGGCCTGCGATTTGGCACGTCTGCGGCCCCGATGATTATAGAAATATGTTGAGAATATTCTCGCAAATGCTTTGACTAACAAGGCGCACGTTGGCGTCGTTAGGATGGCCATTAACTGGAATTGGCTCGAATTGTTTATGACCAATAGCCACGTAAGCACACAAAGGATTCGGCTCCTTCGGCGCCACACAAACGCATTTCAATTGCCCGAGCAGATTATAATGTTTATGGCCAGCATAGATAGTGGCAGCAGCAGCATTGTTTGCTCTGTCTCTCTGGGGAATTCAGAAGATTGCACTTCCAGCTGGTGTAGAGTCTGGAAAATGCATTGTTTTTGGTGACTGCAAACAGTAGAAGACGCAGTCTGATGACTTAATAGAGTTCGATTAAACATACACTAAGAATTTTAAGCTAGAACTATTTATACTCGAAATAAATGACTTCTAGTTATGGAAAGCATGTGTAACGAAAGCAAGCTTTAAAAACTGTGAAACTAAAGAGATTAACCTCAGGGTATTTGGAAACCTTTTTTAGAAGTTCGAACTTGTTCTTTTCATTAAAACTAAAGCACTTTAACCTTTGATTTTAAGTATGAAACTGCATTTTTGACCCTATTTCGTTAATGTATGCAAATATGGCAGATGAAGTAATAGAAAGAACTCCCAAGCTCAAGATATGTTGCTCCCAGTTACCTCATTTGGCCTCATCAACATGGCAGTTACTTTCAATGCCAACTTCTTATGTCAGGGTCATAAAGACAGGGGAACTCTTACTGCATCCACAGCTCAGTTCAATTACCTGGCGGAGAACATAAAAATACACCACACTTTGGCTTCCTTTTGCTTCTCCAAAGATAAATGCATTTCTATTTTAATGCTCCAAACGCAACCTGCTCTTCGGTGACTTGTTTCCCATCTCTCTCTCTCGCTCTGTTTGCTGGAAAATCTCCTCGGCTAATTGCAGTTTCAACGCCTTTCAGCGCTGTGGAAATGCCGCCTTAATAGCCTCCGTCTGCCCCCTGGGATTTTCCCCCCTTCTCATTGGTCTTTCGCCTTAAATGCTTCCTGCTTCTTTGGAGTATGCAAACTATGTCATTGGGTCTTTTGGTATTTTTCCTATTTTTTTTGTGGGGAATTGGGGAATCTCTCTCAATCTCTTTCCCTCGAAATGCAGCTGAGTTTGCAGCTCTGGCTTGCTTTTATTGTATTTTCTTGTTAGCTATTTACATTTTCCGCTGCTGCATTTTCCATTGAAAACTCTTGCAGCTTCTTGGGAACCTGGGCAACTCGTTAAAAATACCTCCCCATTTCCCATTTTTATCTGCTCGCACCTTTCACCTTTCTAAGTTGAGTTCCTTTCAGTTTTTTATTTTGTCAGGGTTCCGAAATGGGAGAAATGGGATAAATAGGAGAAAGGGGCGTGGCATTTCAACTGTGAGATTTATGCAAATACTTCGTTGTGCTGACAATCGATTGACTTGACTTTTATTGTTAATGCCAGAATGATCAATGTGCTGCGATTTTGACTTTACTTCAAGTCGAACATCAAGATGTATTTTTTAAGAAAAAACTTCAAAATAGTATATATATTTCACTAATTATTCCCAGTAACTTCTATATCTTGGGGTCTATGACATTCTAAGGTGAATATTTACCATTCTTACAATGCCGAAACGTACTGTCTTTGTATGTCAAGCACTGACC